GAGGTCAGCTCTGTTCTTCAATCTTCCTTCCCCCCTCCCACTCTGCCCAAAGTAGATGCCAGTGTGGACTGATGTCCCCACTGGTGCCTTTCTCCCTCCCAGCACTTTGGCCTGAGACCCTCCCACAACTGTTACCACTTTGAGTAGAACTCCACATAAGGACCTCCAGTCTTGGCTCTTGTACCTAGAAGATAGATTTGGGATTTAGAATTCCATTTTCCCTCTCAATAAAGTCTGAAATTTAAGTCTATTATCATGCTAGAGATTCTGAAGATCAGTTTCGCATTTTTAAAAGTGTAGAATAACTTCATTCCAGGAGGAAACTTCCCCTAACCAGAGGACTTTAATTCAATAAATGAGAGGCTGAGAGCCACCCTTGAATAATTAAAAACATACTTTCTCCTCCTTTCTTAGTGAACTGCTGCATACCCTGAGGATATTTACTCATAGAGAAGTGCTCTAACTCAATTCTCTACTAAAAAGTGAGATTTCCACATCCTTCTGGAGTCAATTTCCTCTTCTGTCAGTTTTGCTTCCCACCCATTCCTTCCTCAAGTTTGACTAAACCTGGATCTGTAGGAACAATCTCCAGCCACTGAAGGATACTATCCACTCTTACGGGAAGTTCTGCTTCCTTTCAGTAAGGAAAGAGAGGGAGCTCACATTCACAAAGTGTGCATCTGAGTGATCACAAGTCTGGATGGGGCTTGCTGGGTTGGGGGAAGTGGAGAGTGCCACAACACGCCACCAAATCGTTCAGGGTCACTCCAGGCGAATTGGGGTTGGCAGAAATGACCACACTGAGACAGAGAAAATACCTTTTTCTTGGGATTCTTCAGCGATGGCTCCTCTACTCCACTCCCACAAGGAAGGCAGAAAAAGAGGAGGAGGATGTTCTGAGGATGTTTTATTGAGGGGAAGACACTGGAGAAAGTTCCACCCCATTGAAGGGGGGTCAGGCTTCAGGGGGTTGAGTCTAGCCTCTTGATGTCTTGTGGTCAGCAGGTGGACATCTAGGAAGGGCACACCCATCTCAGGTGCTGTGTGGGATCCAAAGGCAGAGCAAGAGAAAAGGACACATACGTGCACAGCCCAGACAGAGCAGCAACCTCAGTCCAGTCTGTTCCTGTGCTCAAAATGCTCACAGCTCACACACACAGCCCATGGCTGGCCTGGGACAGGAGAGACCAACCACCATTGCTTACGGTGACAATAAGTTTTCTGTGTTGGGTTAAATCACTTCCATTGCTACTATAACCTAAACATTGGGTGTCTGGCTGGAGAGGGATATAGGCTGGCACATCCCTAGGTGTGGCAGCTCCCTGGGCCTCTCGGACTGAGCATTGCCCACTGTTAGCAGTTTTAGATTCATGTTCTGATCTGGTCCTGAGGACAGATCTGCTTTTTCAGGGCAATCTCTTCCTTGTGCCTCTAGAGTATAATCACACCTGTAGCCTGACTGGACACTGAAGGAAGAGACTTGTCTCTGAAAGGAGAATCTAAATACAGTTTCTCATCTTTCTTCCTTCTCTTAACTCTTTCTCCATCATTGCATACCTGTATTTACTTGGCTGTTGCCCACATTTCAAGATGATTATGGTACAGGAGTACACAGTACTAGGGGGGTTGTTGTGCCGCAAACTACAATTTTGCATGGGCCTTTTTTAAAAAAAAAAATATATTTTTTTAATATTTGTAGATGGACACAATACCTTTATTTTATTTGTTTATCTTGATGCGGTGCTGAGGATTGAACCCAGTGCCTCATACGTGCTAGGCAAGCACTCTACTGCTGATCTACAACCCCTTTTAAAATTCAACTTACTTAAAAATTTTTATCTGCATGATAGACCCATCTATGTAAAGAATTACTAAGATGGTTTAGAAAATTTAAATTGAGTTTTTTCAGAATTTTTTTGAAAAATGAAAATGTTGAAAATCAATTTTTATTTAGAGTACACTTTGTTTGAAATGGCTCCCACTTTACAGTGGCCATAAAAATGGAAAGGAGTAGTTAAAGTTCATTCATAGGACATACCTCTTGGTCCTCAGGGGCCAGGAATGCATGTTTCTTCAGTAACATCCATGAGCACAGGAAATAACTTCTGACATAATCTTTAAGCCTAATAGTTAAGATTATTCTCCAGTTTATAATGTAAAAGCTTCTGACAGCTAAATGCTATGGTATGAAAGCATTTGAGTGACTGGGGTATGTTTCACTGAACTGGTTTCTCTTATGAATTGAAACTAAGACTTGTGTAAACATAGGAAGGGAAACCTTCCTCTGGTTTATATAGTTAGGCAAGAATATTAATGTCCCTCATTTCCAACTGTGCTGCAGTTCCATCTGTGCTGTGCTCACAGTCTACAGGAAGCAAATCTGTGGGATTTGTGGGGCATTCATTTTTCATTACAGCAGTCACATATAAGACGACCAGCTACCATTATGTAACAAAGTACATATTAATTTCTTTGTGATGTTCAATTTTATAATAATGTTTCCCTCAAGTACTCCTTTTAAAAATTTGGAACCTCAGCTTTGTGAATATTTTTTAAGTTACAAGAACAATAGGAAAAAAGTAAAAAATTAAAAAAATGTACACCTCGGAGAAAAAGAAACAGCATACTGCTACTTGTAAGTTATCTAGAAAACTGCTGGAAAGCATCTAATGTTTTTTTAAAAAACATGAATTTATCACCAGATTAAGGCAGAATCTGCGGGTGCTAGAAAAATCAAAGTTCATGGCTTTTCAAAAAATATATATAATATATATAATTTGTGGTAACATAGTTAGAAAAGAGCATTTAGATTAAACCATTTCTCAAAATACCTTGTAAATACAGATCAGAAGCAATCTGTTTGATTTATATTTTTTTCCTCCCTGCCAGCTAAGAAGAGCAACAATACAATAGAGCCAACAAGTAAGCTGTCTTATCACAATGAGAAATACAATTTATGTGTTCATTTCTGAGTGAATCATGTATGGCTACTGCAGAGATATTTTGTCTGTATTTGATTATTTCTTCAGAATGACACTATGATATACTGAGGCCAAAAGAAAAAAAAGATTAAATAATGTGCTGGAAAATATAGACATAATTATCTCTCCTATTTCCTAAAAAAAAAAAAATACTTACTAGAGCCTGAACATTTTCTCTTTAATTGAAAATAAATGGCTAGTTGCTTTCATGAATATAAAATGAGGCCCTTTGAGAGAAAGAGAAATTACCAAATAATTCATCCTAAGAAGCAATTTCAGCTAAAATAATTAGTACATTTCAGTAGGGTCAGTCAACATTTATTTTCTTTTTGCAGTTTCTTCTACATTTAAATAAAGTCTCCATGAGCAGATAAGAAAGTTACTGTTTAGGTAATCTGCAACTCTGCAGACTATAATAATTTGGTTTAAAAACAAGCCTTATCATTATTATGTATATATATATGTAACTACATGACAAATATGATTCTGTACCATGTACACTTAGAAAAATGAGAAATTATATCCCATCTATGTATATCAAAGAGCATAAATGTATGCTACTATAATGTATAACTAATGAAAACAAATAAAAAATTTAAAAATAAAATAAAGTAAAAACAAGCCTTATAAAAATGCAAGACTCCTCTTCATTACCAAGTGATATAGAACACATAATCCCCAACTTTATTCCAGACATCTCTACAACAGGACTCTTACTTTCTGCCTCACTTCTTTTTGTAGTTTATATTTAAAATAAGTGAATATATGCTTTTAAATGTACTTTTATTAATGTGTAATCAATGAATAATAAACTAAATGGCACTATATTTTTTTAGTCAGAAAAAAATATTTTAGTCAGAACTGGTTTTGCCTTTAAAAAAGCATTTCCCAAGCCCCCCAAATTATTATTATAATTATTTAAAATAAATGTAACTGTGTTATATCACTAGGAAAGCCAAATGAACTGAAAGAAATTTAACTGAGGATTTCCCCCAACAGATTACAGGGTTATAAATACTGTGATCCAAATATATCCTCTCCCTAGTTCTAGTATATAATATTTTAAGGACAACATGGTGAAGAAGCTAGGTAGGTATCTATACTCTAGAAAGATCTTCAGCTGGGTGTAGTGCTGCATACCTGTAATCCCAGCCATTTGGGATGCTGAGACAGGAGGATAGAAAGTTTGAGGCCAGCCTCAGAAATTTAGCAACCTGTCTCAAAGTTAAAATATAAAAAGGGTTGGGGATGTAGCTCAGTGGTAGAGTGCCCCTGGGTTCAATCCTTAGTACCAGAAGAAAAAAAGAAAAAAATTTTTTTTCAAATGTACCATCAATGTTTGTTAAATATTCCAAGAGATAGATGCAAAATAAACAGACTAATTTTCAAATTAGTGCTTCCTTTTATTTTAATAATACTCCTTATCCTGACTGTGCATCATTAATTAAAAGAGCATGCTCCTTTGGACCTCTGGATGAAAATTTGCAACTTCTCCTCTAAGATTTTCCAACCTATTAAAAGCCATTGGGGGGTGGGAGTGGGTGGGAGCTGGGGTTTTGGCTCAGCGGTAGAGCAATCGCCTCGCATGTGCAAGGCCCTGGGTTCGATCCTCAGCACCACATTAAATAAATAAATAAATAAATAAATAAAGGTATTGTGTCCAAGTACAACTATAAATAAATATTAAAAATGCTGTTAACATATTTAGCAATGTCATAAAATGTAATGAAAACATGACAGAAATAACATTTCTTTGTCATTTATAACTGGACAAGTAGAAATAAAAATACCATCAAAGGGAAAAGGCTCTATACTATATAATAGTATGATTTAGAAAAGTCCAATAATATCAGTTTTTTCCAATTAAATAAAAACTGTAGTCTAACTGATTAGAATCATTAGTGAAAAAACGATTTTTCTGAAATTCTTACTATCAAATTTAGTGTTTACAGGCCTGTTTGAGGTAACTTTAAAAAAGTTTTGATTGCATTCCTTAAGATGAAAAACTGTTAAGCACCTCCTATGGCAATAAAATGATGAATGCTGAATCCAAATCTTATTTTATTTTTTATTTCTTTTTAATGTTAGATGAATGGGTAAACATAGTCACAATATTTAAATATACAAACATTTGTGTTATATATCAATATGTAGAAAGATTTTATTATTGGTCACATTTTAAGGAAGATATTCATATTAAAATAATAAAAAGTTACAAACTATTGGATATAAGCCAAAACCTGGTCATGCTGTACTGAATCAACTGATAGTTCTTGCCTTCAAATGATATTTTACTTCATTTCACTGCCAAAAGCTGGAAGAAAACTGAGGTGAAAATAAAATGGTGGGTCGATAGTTATAGTAATTCAACCAAGATCATTATTTTTGCTATCTGTTTGCTAATCTTGGATCAAATTCAGCAACTTTAAAACTAGGTTATGAGAAATATATTATGAACTTCACAGTTGGAAAAGGGAAGAGTAAAGACTGAGGAGAAAATCAAGAAGTGATAAAAGGGAATCTAAGTCAGCAACGAGAGGACTAATGTTGATTCTTTCCCAGTGTTTCTGCTATACTCCATTGTTCCAAGCTCAGTGTGTTCCCTGACAAACATCTCTACTCATGGCTCAGACCACATGCAGCTTCCCTTCTGAGAATTTCCCACTTACTAAAATATTTTAAATATTAGCATATTTAAAGATTTAATAAAATGTTATAAAAATCTATGACCAAAATGACACTTCTTTAGCATTAAAACAATAACTGGACAAGAAGAAAGAAAAAACAACGTTGTCAGAGGCAAAGCTCCTTTATTTAACACAAATTTCAGGAGGTTCCTATTGCAAACTAAAGCCACTAGTGTGATCAGTCAGATCCATTGTTCCCTGAGCACTTCACGATGTACAGTGCAGTGGGAGGCCTACTGCTACAAGTTCATATTAGGGCAGATTCAGGAGTGGTCTGCTCCAGCCTGAATTTAACTCAGGACACTCACTGTATCCTTAGATCCCCCTCAAGGTACACATCAGTGCCAGAATTCCCAAATCAGACAGGATTTTCCCCATTTTGTAATGGCCAAATTATGATTATGAAGGTAGATTATGAAGAGCTGATGTGAGAAGGGATCTGACATCTATGGCCATACCACCTTGAACAGCCGGATCTCATCTGATCTCTGAAGCTAAGCAGGGTGGAGCTCAGCTAGTACTTGGATGGGAGAAGGGACCTGACTCCACCACTGGCTGAGGAAGGTCAGGGGGATTCACTGACGGCTCTACAAGGCCTGAAAAGGCCACTGTCTCCAAAATGGCTACAGCTGAACTTGGTCACCTAGCTCAGAACCTGAAAGAAGCAGTGATATGGTGTGACCAGGAGAAAGTGTGATGATAGTGCTGTCCAGTGACACCCGGACTCTTTTTCATACTGGCTGCCTGTATTCCTAGTGCCTTTCACAATCTGGAAACATGTAAGTCATGTCCGAATACTGACTAACCCTTTTGAAAGGTGGGCATTTCCTATAGAGCAAATTATTTCTGATACTCCAAACAAATCTTCTAACAGGGAAAATCACTAGTGATAGAAGCTACTGCAACAGACTTTATGCATATATAAAGCCAAACTAAATAAATGGTCTTGAATCTGATAGTTGAAATGCATTCTTGGTCTTCACAAAGATAGAATACTGACATATCACAAACACGGATTTTTTTTTTTAAGCTACAAAGACTATACTGATAGATATTGGCTTTTACATTTACAATAGATATACTACAGAAAATGTGTGCCTTCTTTGGATATATACATAATTGTTTCCTTTTGTGTGTATTTTCCTACTAATTTCTCTTGTACTATATAGCTATCACTCTCACAATGAATAGATAAGCAATATGTTTTACATAAGATTGATTACCTCATTCTACCTTTAGACAGATAAATGTGGACATCAAACTATGGGCTCCAATGTAAACTTTCAGAAATGATGTTTGTTATGTTTGATGTAATAAATTATAATTCTTTCATAGTATTTAAAAACAATAGACACCACTTCTATCAGCTAACACCATGAGAGTCCCTACGGCTGTGAGTCTGTTGGAGTGTTGCTATGATTTGCTTTTTCTCCAGAGACCGAATGCTTCAGAAACTGACCAGTAGCACCAATGTATAATCTTGATCGCATGGGCCATTTCTGAAAAGAGAATATTTAAATAAGATTCCAAAAGTTAGTATCTGGGACATATGTAACATATTTGCAGTATTAAAAATTCCAAAAACCCCAGAGCAAATGCAATATTATACAGCCAGTAACAATTATAATTATGAAGTCTAATAGAATATTAGAGAAATGTTTATTAATGCTAACAATGTAAGTAAAAATATATCCAGACTTTGACTATAACCGTAAAACTATGTGCATATGTGTACAAGAAAAGAGTGAATACATAGTTAAGTACAGAAAAATCTGTCTATCCACAGATTTATAAACTAAGTCCAAAAAAAAAAAATCACATGCAAAACTTAGCTCTAAAGATTGAGAACCCAATTACATTCTAAATATAGTAAAACAGGAATGATAAGAGAAGCTTAAAGTGGCCCCTGAGCAAGGATGACATGCAAATTTGTGAAGCATTCCAAATTTCTAAGTTCTGGTGTTTTACTGCACAGCACGATAACTACAGGTAATATGTTTTATATTCAAAAGAACCAGAAGAAAGAATTCCTGAATGTTTTCATTGAATAAAAAAATGATTAATGTTTGAAGAGATATGCTTGCCCTGACTTAAACATGATATAACATACATGTTTTAAAACATCACATTGCACTCCATATACATATATATACATACATATACACACACACACACATATATATATATATACATATATATATGATTTTTATGTTTCACTTTTAAAATTTTAATAAAAATAAAAGAAAAATAACTGGGATGTGATATTATCTGGAAAGCTTCTGTTCTGTTGTTCTGTGGCATCCAACAAACATCTATATTAATGTCTCCAGATGTGATAGTGAATATGTTCCCTGTAGCTCAGTCTCACTATGTTGCCCAGGCCAGCCTTGAACCCATGATCCTCCAGGATAATTCAGATTACAGGTATGTACCACCACATCCATCTGAGCAATCTAGATTTTAAATATAAGTAAAATTTAAAATTTGTATGACTTGGAATTTAAAAGAGTCTACTCCTACTTAGTCTTCCTAAAAATAACCTTGTATGGTATGTTTGATAGAGAAATAAGATTGACATTGTGATACTTATTTTTCCAAATTCATTTCAGAATTTTTTTTTAAATCACACAAATACATTCATATATATTCTGGGTACAGCATTGTCACTGGTCCTGCCCTTAGGATTCCTGCCAGACTGCCAAACCAAATTGTTTTATGAAATGGCCTGAGGCTCATCTGATGTGTCAAGGTCTGGCCTTGTTAGATCAGATTTAAGTCCTACATTATGCTTAAGACCCCAGTGCTGTGGTGTTAGGGACAAAATGCATACCTTAAAGCCTTAAACTCCAAGATGATTAACTGGAAGGTAATCAGAGTTAGATTAGATCATAAAGGACTAATGGCCTTTGAAGAAAAAGTCCAGTCTGTGTGTCTGTCTGTGTTTGCCCCTGCCCCCCTTTCTTTGGTGTGTATACCTTAGCAAGGAGAGGCCATGTGACAACATAGAGAAAAGTGGACCATCTGGAAGCCAGGAGGAGTGCCCTCAACAGGAACTGACCCCTACCACACCTTGATCTGGACTTGCCAGCCTTCAGACTATGAGAATATAAATTTCTGTTGTTTAGGACATCCAGTCTGTTGTATTTTGTTTTGGTTGCCTGAGCAGATTAATACATGCTAGGCGAGTGCCCTACCACTGAGCCATAACCTCAGCCCCTGTAAACTCTACTGAAATAATGTAATGAAATAAGGTAGGGCAGAAATCATCAATTTCAAGTACAGAGTTTTTGGCAATATTATGTATCAGTGCTTCTCAACAGACCCCTGTTCAATTTTCATAAGCATAAAAAATTCATGCTCATATTTCAAATGTAATTTGAGAATTAAGTGAATTAAATATATCTAAGATCAAAAAAGACACAAATATTACTGAATGCTCCCCTCTGGTTCTCATGTGCTACCCAGCGCTCACTATGTTAGAGTTGCTCTAAATCATTCAACTAAGCATACAGTCAATCAAAGAGTCTGTTCCTTATATCCTTGCTGGGACATAAATAATGAATGAAGCAACAAAAAAAATGTGGATTTTTGCCTCATTTACATGTATTTATTACACAATAAAGTTTTCAAATTTAAGAATTTTGTGTCCTTGATTTTCAAAGTTTGTATATAAAGATCTTATTCAACCTAACGTAGGCTGAGAAATAGTTCTTTTGGGGGATGGATAATGGGGATTGAATTCAGGGGTACTTAACCACTGAGCCAACATCCCCAGCCTGTTTTTTATATTTTTGTGTTGAGACAGAGTCTTACTAAGTTGCTTAGGGCCTTGCTAAGTTGCTGAGGCTGGCCTTGAACTTGTGATCCTCCTGCCTCAGCCTCCTGACCCACTGGCATTACAGGTGTGCCTGGACACAGAAATAGTTTATAAGAGTCAGAAATTAAAATGTAAATATTAGTTGGGTTACATGTCAACAAGATGTCAAAAAGCCAGCTGACTGATTTACATTCCATTTTTCAGTGATTTATTATAGCACCACAGAGTAACATAATCCTGAACTCTACTTTCTTTTTTTTAATATTTATTTTTTAGTTGTAGTTGACACAATACCTTTATTTTATTTATTCATTTTTATGTGGTGCTGAGGATCGAACCCAGGGCCTCACATGTGCTAGGCGAGTGCTCTACCACTGAGCCATAACCTCAGCCCCTGTGAACTCTACTTTCTTATGGACAATGATTCTCAAGGGGTATGGCAATTAATAAAGTCATCTGTGCTTTTCTCCCAAAGTAAAGGTCTAAAAATACATTCCTGTTCTCCTGGAAAACCACTGCTCTTTGGGCCAAATTGTTACTGATCCAAAATGCTTATGGTACAAAGAGATAAGTATGGGTGTAGGCCCCAGGAGTCTAAGCCTACTTTCTTAAAACTCCAGTTTCATTTGAGTTTGTTTTTTTTTTTTTTTGGTTTTGCCTACTGGAGATGGTAAGAATGATAAGTATGAGCTCTACCACTGAGCTATACCTCTGATCCCTCGTTTCAGATATTTTCATGTAGGTCCCCAACAGCTCTTACATGCTAATATATTGGTAATAAGGATTGATGTTTCAAAATCACAGCATCGGAAGTATTTGTTAAAAGATCTTTTGTTATCAGAGTAGAAGTTAGTAACACTGTTCTAAGGTAGAAACATAAAATCATTTTAGAATACCTACTAATATAGTTTACAATGAATCTTTAGTTAATTAAAAAAGATCATAATATTTTTATTCCTTTTACAGTAAAGATAGACTTATTATTTAAACATTTTGGTTCTTTTGTAAAATAATGTTAACAGGTGGTTTCAATTGCATATATAAAATCTTTGAACCTCGTCAGCACATGGTTATAACATTTTACCTAACAGCATTATACCGTTATTTGCATTTTTATTTTCATTTCTGTAATATGTTCAATTAGGTCAAGGACTGAGTCTTACTCATAAGGATATTTACTATCCCAAAACACTGCTTTACTCATAGCAGAAACTCAAATGTTTGATTTTAAAATATATTGTTACTTGTTACACATCAATTTCACTTTTTAAAAAAAAATATTTTTTTAGTTGTAGATGGACACAATACCATTATTTTATTTTTATGTGGTGCTGAGGATCAAAGCCAGTGCCTTCCACATGGAAGGTGAGCACTCTACCAATGAGCTACAACCCCAGCCCTCAATTTCACTTCTAAGAGAGAATCTTTGACCTTCTATCATAATGTTTAGAATTGTTCATTAATGATCAAAATAATTCAGAGAACAAATGAGATTTAATTTCATAAAACAATTATATGACTACAAAAATATTTGGTACATGAATTAAGTATAAAAAAGTTTGTTATGCTTACTGTTACAGTCTAACATTAATGCTTCTAACATTTTTCATTAAAAAAAAAAACTCACTCCATGAAATTAAGGTGAAAAACTTGATTTCTCATTCTGAATCATAGCTCCCACAAAGGAGAAATTTAACATGTACTTTTATGTTAGAATATACTTAATGTTAAACTTTTTTAGAGTAAACAGCAAATGTCAAGTCAAAAGAAATCTAAATTAGTGGTATATATGAATAGCAATCTAATACACAAAGTAATATAAATCCCCTTAATCAGAATGAATGACTTCAACAGAGATCATGTTATAAAACTCAGGAATGGGATGGGGGGGGTCTATCCTAATTATAAATAATGATATTTTATACATATATATTTTTTAAATAGTTGTAGTTGGACACAATATTTTATTTTTATGTGGTGCTTAGGATGGAACCCAGTGCCTCACAAGTGCGGGTCAAGCGCTCTACCACTAAGCTACAACCCAGCCCACTTTACCGTATTTTTAAAAAATTTTTTTAAAATTTTGTAGTTGTAGATGGACAGCATTCCTTTATTTTATTTACTTTTATGTGATGCTGAGGATTAAACTCAGTGCCTCACACCTGTGGTGCAAGCACTCTACTACTGAACTACAGCCCCAGCCCTTACCATATTTCAATAATGATTATTCACTAACTTATTGAACAATGACATACTTAAACCTAAGTCCTAATTTTGTATTTGCGTATGTATGTTATAAAATACTTCAGAATGGAAGAAACAAAAATTTGAAAATTTAGGGTTAGCAAATATAGAAAAGATTATGCATTTCGAGTAGGAAGTTGGATTAATGTAAGGTTTCAAAACAAATCTAGGGGAAATGGATGATATAGATTATGCAATATAAATTACTAATTTTAGTCCTATATATCATATTAAATGACATCTGTGATCATTCTACCTATATGTAAACAAATTATGCAAAATGGATTGTCTTGGCTAGTTTTGTACATTACAAACTTTGAATATAATATTTATTCAATTCGCTCAATGTACATGCCAATCTATTATGAAAATACATAAAACATTATAGCTTTTCTAACATTCTTACTAGCTGTCTGGTCTATGGTTTTAACCTTTATTTAAACTGAAAATTTGTTTCATGGAGATGTAGAACCGTCTCATTTGTTCTTGGTGTTACCGAACAATTTCAAACGTTCTCCTAGGATTAATTAAAGGAAGATAATTAATTGTATGATTCCACTTCATTCGTGATATCTTTCAAATTTCCCAAAAAATACAATGAAATTAAAATAACCCAAGCTTTCTCACCCTGAAAAGTGCAAAAATCCTTAAATTGCCATCCTGTAAAGGGCATGACAGACTCCAGTCCAAGCCACGGATTCATTCAGCAGCCTCTTGCAGTGTGGGTTCTTGGTGTCAGTGCCCCCTCGGGCCGAGGTCTCCTCACCCACGAGGAGTAACTAGAGCTCCGTGGCATCTGCCCAGGCGGTGAAAAGGCAGATTCAAGGTATCCCAGTCCCAGCCCCGCAGTGTGCCCTCCCGCCTACCTTGACTGGGTGCAGGTAGCCATCGCCACTCAAAGCTCCCAGACCAGGATCCGCCGCAGCCTCGGCGTCGTCCTGCAGGCTGCGGGTAAGGTGCGCGATGTAAGTGGTGGCCAGCAGCAGCACGTCCAGCTTGGATAGCTTTGTGTCGGGTGGTACCGACGGCAGCGTGCGCTGGAGCTCCAGGAAGGCGTGCCTCAGGGTTTGCACGCGGCTGCGCTCCCGCGCCGCGTTCGCCGCGGCTGGCCGGCCGCCTCCCGAGCGCGCTCCGATCCCAATACGCCCCGGGCTTGAGTCGCGGGTGACAGTGGCCGGGGGCCTGGGCTCAGCACTGGCGCTCTCGGGGCTGTTCACCGGGCGGCCGCGGTCCATGGTGGATTCCTGCGCACAGCGCGCGCTGCAAAGGACCGAAAGCGCAGTGAGGACGGGGCGCGGTTGGGTTTAACCTGAGGGGTGCAACCCTCTAGCTGACGCAGCGCGCCGGCCCGGCCGCTCGACGTGGTTAAGGGTTTCTCAGAGATGAGCTCTTTTGAAGTGGTATGTTCTGCCTTCCAGCGCCTGGGCAGAACGGTGGAACCTCAAAGTTTCTGAGCTTCGTAAAAGTAGGAAGAGGGGTTTTGCCTTTTTGGGACGGGCTTTGCTTTTTCCAGGACAAATTAAGCTCAAGGGCTACTGTACCAGGGAAGGAAGATCTCGGAAGCACAGCTCCGTTTCGGCACTTGGTGCTCCGGCAGTTATTAGGCCAGCCCCGCGGGAAGTGTTGCGAATCATTTTCGCCGGCTGGGCGGGAAACCCTGATGTCTCTCTACCACGCGAGGTGGCACACCGGCCGCCCTCGGGTCTTTTGCGCCCTTGGGAAATTTCCGCCTGAGAAACGGGGACCCCTGGCCTCGCCCTGGACTAAGGCACCGGCTACCGCTATAAACTTGCGAACTGTGCGGAGCGAGAGGGACCGGGAACCTCACCTTTCCTGAAGCCGCCTTGCGGGTCTTGGATCTGCTGGGTAAGGGGACGGGTACGTCAAGCCGGGTCTGCGTAGACAGGGCCGCGTGGGTCACTCCATCGTTGTCCAGCCAAAGCCAAAGGCTGCTTTCAGCTTCTTCTGGTCACGCCTTTTATGTAGGGATCCCTGAGGCCATGAGTACGTACCTCCACCGCGACAGCCCGTCGGGCGGAGGCCTGCGCCCATGTGGGGGTAACTCTATGGGCTGAGGCCTCTAGGAACCTTGGCGGAGGGAGACTCATTAATCAAACCGCCCGGCAGGGCGGGCCAGGGGGTGGGGCGTCCGCCACTCAGCTCCCGCGCTGCGCCCTGCTTTCCCAGAGGCGGGGCGCGGGGGTTGCAGGGTCCAGCGCTGGGGGTGTCCGTAGGGTGGGAAAGGGTCTAACCTCGCCGCTGTCTTTCCACCTGGCCCCAGTCGGATTCCAGGCCACTTTCCAGGCCCGCGCAGGGAACGCCGTTTGGTTGCGCGTGACAGCTTTCTGCGAGGAATGTCGAGTGTGCCACGTCGATGCATTAGCTTTTTTTTATCCTACCACAAGGTAAATATTTCATGCTGTCCTCATTACGCATGGTAGTAGTCCCCCCACCTCAGTACTCCGTGACCAGGTTAGGTAGGCGCTGTGAGACAAAACTGCACCTTGCTTAAGACCTCGAATGTCCCCGTTGTTATGTTTTAGGAACATGGACCCTAGCCCGCGATTCTGTCATCCCTCGGGGCAACAGCTTTTTTATTTTAATTTCTCAGACATACAATTCTTTACTTGCTTTGCACCTGTGCCCCCAAACGGTGTGTGGTTTGCAGCAGTGCAAGGAGAAACTAGATCCAAAGCTCCTTTATAAACGGGCGCTGCGCCCCCAAGCCGATTCCGACAGAGCATTCCGCTCTGACTCTCCCAACCCTCCGATTTTCTTGAAGCAAATCAAACATGAAATTAAAGAACTCTTATATACTGATACCATAAAGCTGCCGTGCGTCCTGCACCCGTCGTTTTCCCGGGTGAAGTCTGAGTGGACACACAATACTTTCTAGCAACGTAATTAGGACATATTAGAAACAATGTCTACAATTGGAACATTCTTTTCTTTGGGGGTAACTATATAATATCAAATTTAAAGTGTCATCAAAGAAACTGCTCTTGTATATAATATGTTTTTGTATGCTTTCCAGTAGCTTTCTAACTTTCCAAAGTGAAATTACCAACCTGTAGATAGTAATGGTGGTATTTGTTATATTCGGACATACCAGTCCAAACATTAAGTATATTTGTAAATCAGAAGGATCTTTGGGTTTCTAAAATCTGTTCTCATTCAATAACTGTAATTAAATTCACACTTTAGAAAGAGGCACACCCAAATTCCATTGATTCAAAAAGGCCCTCTATTGAATAGGAAAGCTCATCTTTATTTCCCCAGTAAATTGTGTGTAATGAGTAATAAAGCAAATAGATCTTTGAACTGTCACACGTGGAAAGCAAAATTTGAGATTCTATAAAGAAGCAAATCAAGCAACACATTAAAAAACTCTTATATACTAAGATACCATCATAAAGCTAAAAACTCAAAAAATGTTGCCAAGTTTTATGAAGTTAAAAAAATAAGATCACTTGAAGCTGAATTTACTTGTTTTCAGCAAATTTTCTTTTACTTTTGGATTATGGAAAAGATGAGATTCATGCACATCATTTTTTTGTTAGCAAGGTTTCAGATTCCTTCAAAGAGAGATTCCTGTGTGCATAAAGAGAAAAAAAAAGTGTTTAGTTTAAAATAAAAGTATTTTTTTAAAAAAACCCACAAACAGAATCCAGGATACAATGATAGTAGAGGCTAATAATTAGTCACCAAAGTTTTAATCTTTTCAAGGAGAGTTTAAAAGGAAGCAGAAACACATATTTTCCTGCTTTGGAAAAATGAGAAAAATCTGGGTGGGGAGAGTTATGGAAATTAGAATATTGGAGGGAAGGTTGACCCAGGCTAAGGGGAGGCAAGTGAGGTGCCTGGAGCTCCTTAAATTTTGCACTCTTGGCCCAGCCTATTAGAGTCACCTGCTTATGTATGATGATGTGGAGGAAGGACAGGGCTCTTCTCCACCTGTTGAGCAAGAAAGGACTGATGATAACAAGACCAACTTGCTTGTTCAAACTTCTGCCACTCTAATCAGCCTCTTGGATGAATCTAAGTATTTCTAATTCCTGAAGGAAACCCATTATTTTTTTTTTAATTTGTAGTTGTAGACGGATAGCTTGCCTTTATTTTATTTAATTTTATGTGGTGCTGAGGATCAAACCCAGTGCCTCAGCATGCTAGGCAAGTGCTCTACCACTGAGTCCCAGCCCCAGCCCCAGGAAACCCATATTTTTAATTAAATTCAAATTATGAAAAGCTTGGAATTTCTTTTATTACATAATTAGTAAGAGGTGCCTCGTATCTAGCACTATATGTGCTAAGTGCTTTAGAGGTATTTCTCATTTAGTCTTTACAAAATTTCCCTTTTTCCAATTGGGAAAATAGAGGGTCAGCAGGTTTAGGTAACTTGTCCAAGGCCACATAGCTAGAAGGTGGTTGAAACAGGGTCCAAACCAAGCAGATTGATGTGTAGGTGGACACAATACCTTTATTTTATTTATGTGGTGCTGAGGATCCAACCCAGGGCCTCACACATGTGAGATGAGTGTGCTACTGCTGAGCCCCAGGCCCAGCCCTCATTGTGCTCTTCTATTTAGTATTTGTAGAATATTTTATAATATGCCAAATGTTTTTTGCATCTATTAATTTCAATAAAGTACATAATTTAAATAATTTGATTCCAATCCAATTCCTATTTTCATAGAGTATCTTTCCTTTCAGTTCTTAATTGCATAGTCTTCCAAAAAGAGTACTACAGATTTTTATTTCTCTGATTGTAGTGTAGGTCTTAGAATTAAGTCTTTTTTTCCCTAAATATGTCAAGTTGCACTGTTAACTTGATAAGATTACCTTTATAATGCAAATATCACACATCAGTGAATAAAAAGGTTTTATAAAACATTTATGTAAAACACAAGATATAAATATTTTACAGGTATATAGAACAATTACATTAATGGTACTTTCCTTTGCCTTTCAACTATTTCCCTCATAGTTTGTTCAATTTACCTGTTTGAGTGTATAGTTCAAGTTTTGATAAACATATGCAGTCTTATAATCACCACCACAATAAAGATGCAGAACATTTTTATCATCCTGCCTTCAAATTCCCTGACTCTATGTAAGTCAATCCTTTACCAACCCTCAGTTCCTGGAAACTACTGATCTGTTTTCTGTCTCTATGATTTTTGCCTTTGCCATAAAACAAATAGAAGCATACAGTATTGGAGCCTTTTGAGTCTAGCTTCTTTCATTTAGCATTATGCTTTTGAGACCCATCCATGGTTTTGAATATATCAATCGTTCATTCCTTTTCATTGCTGAGTGGTATTCTATTGTAAAGATGTTTCACAGATTGTTTATCCATTCCTTAGCTGAGACACCTTTTAGATGTTTTCAGTTTGATTACAAACAAACCATTATAAACATTAAGGTACAGGCTTTTTTAAGTATAATATTTTATTTCACTTGGGAAAATACCTAGAGGTGGAACTTCATCAAATTATTATACAAAGTGACCATCTTATTTTTGCATTCCCATCAGTAGTACATGAGAATTCCTTTCTTAGCCAGTACTACTAGTTTCTTTTATTTTTTTTTCTAGTACATAATTTTTAAGAAAAAAATTGAGTTAGGGGCTGGGGTTGTGGCTCAGTGGTACAGCGCTTGCCTGGCACTAGGTTCCTCAGCACCACATATAAATAAATGAATTTTTAAAAATTAAGCCAATATTTTGAAATCAGATTATTTCACAACCTCGATATTTTGCTTGCCAGCTAGCTAGTCTGATTTCTCAAGTTCGGCCATGTCTGCCTGCCTATACTGTTCTAGAGCTGAATAGCTGAAACTGTCTTTGTTGGACATGTGCTCTACAATTCATCTTAGTCTCCTCAACTGCTTCTCTTATTTACTGTACCTATCTGTCCCTGAGAACATGTGTAAGACCCCTTAATGGAGAAGCTAAGAGCTTAGCTATTTGAGTGTCAGTGATCTAGGTTCCTTTGAATGTGCTTCTTCAAGTCCCATTTTCTCATCTGTAAAATGGGGTGCTTGTATTCCTTTCTCAAAGGGCTCCAGTGTTTAAAAATTTGTTTGGATAATTAAGATTCAGCTTTCAAAATATAGGCATGTTAAAATGGAAAATAGCTAATACAATTCTTTTTAATTAGGTCTCATAAACTCCTGTTCACATAGGATGCCATTGACAGAATTGAGACTAAGAGTCACAAAAACTAATTTTAGTCTGTTCAAATTTTTTTTAAAAAATTGTTTCTTACCACTATTGCTTTTTTTGGAGGGAAGTAGGTATCCTAATTTTGAAAGAGTTTTTGAGAACTGAAAATCAAAATGTTAACCTTATTTTTTTAGTTGTAGGTGGACACAATACCTTTATTTTATTTTTATGTGGTGCTGAGGATGGAACCCAGTGACTCACACGTGCCAGGTGAGTACTCTACCACTGAGCCCCAGCCCCAGCCCCAAATGTTAACCTTATTTGTATATAAAATTAAATAGCCTGAGGTTAGGTTTAACAATTTAACAAAGTAACATTAAAGGCATTTTGAACTTTGCAAGTGAGTTTTATATAAGAACATTCTAGAGTTTTATGACTATAAATATTAACTAAGTTTTACAAAGCACACTGAATTGTTTTTACAACTGTTCAAACATAACATTGGCAAAGGCAAGTTATTTTAACTATTATAGTTAACCTTTTTAAAAAAAATTTTGGATAACTTTATTTATTTATTTATTTATTTTTTCTGTGTGGTGCTGAGGATCGAACCCAGTGTCTCATGTGTGCTAGGCAAGTGCTCTACCACTGAGCCTCAACTCCAGTTCACCTTTTAAATCAGAGACCTAATTCAAAGAAACCTAACTTTTTAATTTAGAGAAACTACTCAAGTTAACTTTTTAATTCAAAGAAACCTGTGAATTATAGGTCCCAAGGATTGATATTTCTTAATGGTATCTAATCAAGAGAGTTCTAAACCCAGCTAGAAACTTATTTTGACACACAAAAAAAGACTGATTAACTATTGACATTGCTTGGGCTTGAGAGATAGTTAAGTAATCAAGAAATAATTTTCTTTTTTCATTATACAGTGCTGTACAGTATTCTCAATGAATCTTAAATATAATATATGAGTGTATTTAATATCTATTTTTAAATTACTAAGGCTCAAGCACCTCCTAGCATGTTTGAGAGGAAACATCTGTCAGAAGTATTTACTGTGACAAACAGAGAAAGAGGCTATAATGTGTACCCTTTTTTGTTAGTTTAATACCATATATTATTTTTAATTGAACAGTGAAAGCATTTGTTCAGAATCAGCCTTTAAATAAAAAAGTTTTGACCTAATCTTTAATTAAAGTGTACATTGATAGTATCAAGTTCAGTTTGAGGGTCAAAAACAACGTCAATGAGTCTGACTTTTTCCTCCCTGTAGGGAAAGCAGGCTTATGTAAATATACATGAGCACAGACGGCATGCAATTACAAAAGAGGTAGAAAACATTCCCCTGTCTTTGGACAGATGTTGCTTCACTGTGCTCCACACAGGACACAGGCACAACTCCCAGCATGTGGAATCCTAAAAGGAGTGTTGAACATACTTTTTGCTTTTTGGAAGATGCGTTCTAAGCCCTTTGCCACTTCTGTGCAGGCACTTCACTTTAAATGTTAGAGAGGTATAGGGAATGCCTCTGCTGATGCCAGCTCATTCTCTTCCTTAAAGTAATTAAGGGAAGAGGTTGCTTTAATCAATTTTCTAGAAACTAAAAACCTATTCCTTGTGTTTTGTTCGGTTGGGTTTTGTTGTTATTGTTTGTTTCTTTCTTTTTTGTCATGCTGGGGGATTGGGTGCAAGGCCTTGTACAGGCCAGGCAAGTGCTCTGTCACTAAGCTATAGCCCTAACCTGGGTATTTTAACACTTTACTGACATTCTAACTTTATTCTCATTATATCTTAGCTTTATATTAACTTACTAAAATGTTATTCATAGGCAACCCTGAAAAATCTGAAACAAGAGCTTGATGAAATTCCACAATATATTTGGTCTCCTCTTTTTTTTAAATATTATATTAATTAATTAATTTATTTTTATGTGGTGCTGAGGATTGAACCCAGGGCCTTGCACGTGCTAGGTGGGCACTCTACTGCTGAGCCAAAACCCCAGCCCCTTGTCTCTTCTTAAAGAGGGACATAACTTATATTCCCATGTAATAAAACTCAAATCTTCTGAGACACCAAAACAGCATTTTGGCATGCCTACAGTAAAAAAGTTACCTGAAGAAATAATAAACATTTAAAAGAAAATATTTATGTAATATTTTTTTCATGGGATAAAGCTGAAAACTCAGAATTGTACATAGTCAACTTCACTGACAACAGCAGAAGCAGGCATTTTTTATGTTCTTCTCAAAGGAACCCCACTATTCTGCTAGCTCCTTTAGGGCAGCTTGCCTTTGCAGTATGGGAGAATTTATAGTGTTCCTAGTTAGGAAAATAAGGGCAGAGTGGTTTACTTGCTTTCATCATTGCAACCCTAGTTATCTGACTAATCTTAGTATGTTTGTGGCAATGTATAGAATTTATCAACTTTGTTTTATGAGGCTGTGTATATTTTTATTGTTCAATTTTCCACATTGATGTTATACTAGCAATATTTTTCAAAATGCTTGGCAAAAAAAATCTCAAGAATACTATTGTGGAATTTGTATCAGTTATGTCAGTCTTTAAGAAATTATCAGGGTGCTGTGGATAAACTGGCTATGGCTTTGATAGTAATGACAATGTATGTAAGGAGTAAAGCAAATTCTCACACAGCTCCTGTTTGGTTGTGATTGGAGAGCAATCTCTATGTATTCTCTCTCTTCTCCCCAAATAAAGCATTTTCAGACTCACAGATAAGCCTGGCAAGCCCAAGCTGCACTGCTGGGAGTGGGTAGGACAATGCATCAGTGTTGCTTACAGAGCTTCTTCAGGTGGGCTCTGCTAAGATGCAAAGAAGGTATCATGAGAGACCCATCTGACCTTCATCAAGAAGTTGTGGGGAAAATAAAACTATTCCAAAATATGTCTCCTAGCTCTGATTATTTTCTCAATGAAGTATGCTATTGCTCTTTGTTATATGTAATGTTTGGTATGATAGGATTGGGAAGATCAATACAGAATAGTACTGATTACAAATTAAAAGTCTGAATGAAAAATTTATAGGATGAAATAGAATCTGGTTTATAATGCCCATAGCATTTATCATACTACAGCAATTGTATCATATTTGACTCCCCACCTAGCTTGTTGCAAGGTATTTGAGATTAAGATTGTCTTATTTGAATTTTTATATTCTGGCATATGGCAGGTGTCTGTTTTAGAATAAATATAGTTATTTTCTGATATGGTTTATCTCTACATGGAAACAATATCCTAATTTTAAAACATAATCACTTTTCTCCTTTTTGGGAGATTTAGAGCTGATTCATATGGAACTAAATTATGTATAGATCAATCTTTAGAATGATGATTCTTAAAACTATTTTTTTAGATCATAAACTCCTTTGAAAATCTAATGAAACTTCTAATGACTCCCTCATAAAACTTTTGGTTTGGAAAGTGGTCAAAGGAGTCTACTTAGTCCTCTGGGCTCTAATTCCTTTCTGTAACTCTATGCCCTTACTGCAGTCTCTGCCCCAATGCCCACCCCTCAACACATACACACTGGTTGGGCACCCATGGTCAACTGGGGCCTATGATATGATCCCTGATCATTCAGACATATTTACCTATGTCTTCTGGGACTTTCCTGAGTCACCCTGCCCCAACTCAGTGACTGTATCTAGTCTAACTCCCAACTCTTCTGAACTACTTCTTCCACTGCAACTTTATGACTGACCAATAGTGCAGTTTTTTGTTTTGTGCTTGGATACGGAGGATTTGAGAACAAACGGAGGGCCTCCCTACATCTGTATTGATGATTAGATGTCCCATCCCTCTGAAAAATAATAGAAATATTTGAAAGAACCTACCCCATATCTTCAATAATTTTAGTGTTATCTTCTTGGCAGCTTTCTGGAGATGTATTTCCATTTAAAAGAAATCTCTGTGAGTTGGAGAAAAAGACTAATTTTGGCTTACCCACCTGTGGGTAATAAACAGGAACTATGTGATGCATTGTTTCAAAGTTACCTGTAACATACAAAGAATTAAAAGCATCCTGCTTTGAAACTAATAACTGAGTTGTAACAATGATATATTACAGTAGATTATCTAAAATTATATTTTATAAAGAGTCAAAGCTAAATGAATTCACAGTAAAATCAATGATAAAATAGCACAGATTTAAAAAATATTTTTGGTTATAGTTAGATACAATATCTTTATTTTGTTTATTTATTTTTATTGTGATGCTGAGGATTGAACCCAGTGCCTCACACATGAGAGGCAAGTGCTCTACCACTACTGAGCTACAACCCCAGCCCCTAAAATATCACAATTTTTATACATTAAAAACCTATAGGTTTGAGGCTGTGGCTCAGTGGTAGAGCACTTGCCTAGCATGTGTGAGGCACTGGATTTGATCCTCAGCACTACATAAAAATAAATTAATTAATTAAATAAAGGTATTGTGTCTATCTACAACTAAAAATATTTTAAAAAAAACCTATACAGGAGAGTTTATGGTCAACTCTTATAAAATGGGTATGCTAACATTAATATAACTCCTTTGAATTTTGCTGTTCTGAGTTAATATGTTTTTTCAAAGTGCCTTTAGGATTTAGACATGTATAAGTTTTGGGATATGTTCAGACCTTTATTTGGCATTCAACATTTACCTGTTTACACATTGCCTCTCCTTTCTACTAGTCATGTCCTTTTGATTGGGGACTACCTTATTTATTTCTAGTCATCAGTGCCTTGAATAATACTAGGCATTATTATTATTAATTTTTTTGGGGTTGGGAGTGTATCCAGAGCCTCATCCTTAGCCCCCCTTAACAAATGTTTAATAAACAAATATGTGAATTTTCCATAAGAGCACTATGCAAATAAATACTAAACAATATGTATGTTTTAAATTTTATTAATGTATTTGATTAAGTTCCCCATTTTGAGTTATATGGCCGTATTTAGGGTAATATTTTTTTAGTTGTAGATGAACACAGTACCTTTATTTATTTATTTTTATGTGGTGCTGAGGATTGAATCCAATGCCTCACGCATGCTAGGCAAGTGCTCTACCTTTGAGCTACAACCCCATCCCCAGGGTAATATTATTTTTTAATTGTAGGATCCTTGACATATAATCTAAATCAGAAATTATAATCCCTACAATTTGACTCTATTTCTCAGTTTAGAGCTCCAAACTTACAAAGCTATCAAGAACATTTAAAAATGTAAAAGATTAACATGTACAAAAATTAGTACCACTGTAGCTTAGTGATAGAGTGCTTGCCTACCTAGCATGCACCAGGCCTTAGTTTGATCTCCAGCACCACATACATACACACACAAAAAGATTACTATCTTCTTAAGAATTCCAATTCACATAAAATATACTTGGTTGTGTAGAGGTAACTTTAAAAGGTTCATCTTTGCTCTTCTAAAGAGCTGAAAAGGGGCTGTGTTATTATGTTCATAAGGAAAAAAAAAAAAGACCTGAAAGGATAGTGTAGATTTAAAAATTACATAATCTATCCTTTAGTTTTAATTCATGCATTTTCTTTCTTGTCAGTAGTAATAAAGGAGCCTCTTACGTAAACCTATGTGCTGCTATTGATCACATACATAAAAATAAAATGACTGCACATTACACACATGTATCTTAGTAGTGTCATTGCTTTTAAGCCTGAGAGACTCAGTTCGGTACCAGCTGGATGGGGATGGAAAATGTGCAGGGGTGATGATGAAGGGATCCACAACTGATCTGGGAGAATAACTTGTGAGGAAGGTCCAGATAATTTTCTATTGCAGCTAGTCAGTCTTCATTTTAAATTTTATTTTATTTGATCTTAATAGTTTAGTTTTTGATCTAATAAATCTTATAATCTATTTGAATATGTTCTTCAATTTTAAGTAGCTTCACAATATATTATCCCATTTTTTTCTTCTAGCTCATTTTTACTTATAAAAATCATTTATGGGGTTGGGGTTGTGGCTCAGTGGTACAGCGCTTGCCTCACACATGGGAGGCCCTGGGTTTGATCTTCAGCACCACATAAAAATAAATAAATGAAATAGAGGTATTGTGTCCAATTACAACTAAAAAATAAATATTAAAAAATCATTTACATATCACATCTTTCCATATCTGCAGATTTTCCTAAATTGCCCCCACAAACTGAAGTGAACTTTTAAGTAGAGAAGTCATCATGGTATTTATAGTCACAATCCAGCCAATGTTAGAGTGTTGATTAGAAATCAACTCTATTTTATGAAGTTAAATAACTTGATTTATTTAGATCAAATCTATTTTATGAAGTTAAATAACCTCTCCTAATGTTGTGACCTCGTACAAATCACTCAATCTTTCTGAAACTCATCTTTCTCACCTGCAAACTGGATCTGCCCCACAGGTTATATGATTAAATGCATTAATGTATATAAATATCTGATATATTTACATAATATATATCAGCTCTCTTCTCTTTCTCCCTCTTCTTTTACACCTGAGTGCTTTCCATTTTAAATTATTAATGATTATCATTATAGAACTACATATATGAATGGAAGCTTCTATACTATAATATTCTATGTCTTTTTAAAACTGTAGCAAGGGGCTGGGGTTGTGGCTGAGTGGTACCGCACTTGCCTAACATGAGTGAGGCACTGGGTTAGATTCTCAGTACCACATACAAATAAATAAAATAAATGCCCATCATCAACAACTAAAAAGTATTTTTTAAAAAAACTGTAGCAAGAACATGTAACATGAGATCTTCTTGAAAAATTTTTAAAGTGTCTCCTACATTGTTGACTTTAGGTACAATCTTGTATAGCAGATCTCCGGAGCTTATTCATCTTGCTTGACTGAAACTTTATGCCTGATTTATAACTCCCATGCCCCCAACCTCTGGCAAAAGCATTCCATGAATTTGATAATCTTAGATATAAGTGAAATCATGAAGTGTGTCTGTGACTGGCTTGTTTGCTGAAAGTTCGTCCATGTTGTAGCACATTGCATAATTTCTGGCATTTTTTTAAGGCTGAATAGTGTTCTATGTTCCATTTTATGTATAAATGCACTAATATCTCTTAGAGATTCTGATTTTTATTCTTTTGAATATTCAGAAGTGAGATTGCTGGGTTATATAAGAGGTTTTGTTTTGTTTTTTTTTTAAACTCTTTGAGAAACCTCCAAACTCTTTTGTCAGAGTGGCTGCACGATGCATTTCTATCAAGTGTACAGAGGTTCTCATTTCTCTGCAGCCTTGCCAACAAGTATCTTCTTTTTTCCCCTTTTTCTTTTTGGCGGTGCTGGGGATCAAACCCAGGATCTTGAGCATGTTAGGCAAAGCACTCTATCACTGAACTATCCCAGTCTTTTCCTTCCCATCCACCAGGAACCCCAAATATAATAGCTATCCTGACAGGTATGAGGTGAAAAAAATTTTTTTTTGGTGGGGGGTGGTACCAGAGATTGAACTTGGGGCACTTAACCACTGAGCCACATCCCCAGCCCTATTTTGTATTTTTATTTAGAAACAGGGCCTGAGTTGCTTAGCACCTTGCTTTTGCTGAGGCTGGCTTTGAACTTGATATTCTCCTGCCTCAGCCTCCCAAGCTGCTGGGATCAAGGCATATGCCACTGCACTGGGCACTTATTGTGTGTGTGTGTGTATACATACATATGTATACATATGTATGTGTGTGTGTGTGTGTGTGTGTGTGTGTGTGTGTGTGTGTGTGTGTATATATATATATATATATGTTGTAATTGGGCACAATACCTTTATTTATTTATTTTTATATGGTGCTGAGGATCGAACCCAGCATCTTGCATGTGCTAGGCAAGTGCTTTCCCACTGAGCCACAACCCCAGCCCTCACTTATTGGGTTTTGATTTGCATTTTCCTGATAATTAGTGACATTGAATTTTTTTTCATATTCCTGCTGGCCATTTTTATATCTTTTTTGGAGATATTCAAATCCATAACCCAATTTTAAATTAGGTTATTAGTTGTTATTTTGCCACGGAGTTGTAAAAATCCCCATACATATTGGAGATTAACCTCTATCAGATGTATAGTTTGAAAATATATTATTCTAATTCTGTAGATTTCACTCTGTTGTTTCCTTTGCTGTGCAGAAGCTCTTTCATTTGATGTAGTTCCATTTATTTATTTTTGTTTCTGTTGCTTGTGCTTTTAGTGTCATAACCATGAAATCAATGCCAACATGAATGCCATGAAACTGTCCCCCAGAGATTTCTTCTAGAAATTTTATAGTTTCAAGTCTTCATAACTTTAATCCATTTGAGTTGATATTTGAGTCCGATGTAAGAAAAGGATTCAGTTTCATTTCTTTTGCATGTGGATATCCAGTTTTCCCAGTGCCACTTGTTGAAGAGACTCTCCTTTCCCCATTGTATATTTTTGGCAGAATCAATTAACTGTATATGTGTGAATTTTTTTCTTGGCTCTCTTTTATTCCATTGCTCTTATATGTTTGTCTTAGGCAAGTTTCATACCTTTTTGATTACTATAACTTTGTACTATTATTTTGAAATCAGGAAATATGATTCTCTAGCTTTATTCTTCTTTCTCTAAATTGATTTGACTATTGGTGATCTTTTGTGGGTCCATATGAATTTAGAATTTTTTCTATTCCTGTAAAAAATGTCATTGGGATTTTTTGATAGGCATTGATTGGAATCTGTAGACCACTTTTGGTCATATGGATATTGTAATAATATTAAGTCTTCCAGTTCATGAACATGGGAAGTCTTTTCATTGTGTCTTATTTAATTTATCATTGTTTTATAGTTTTTAGAATACAAGTTTTTCACCTTCCTAATTAAGTTGATTCTGGAGTATTTTATTATTGATGCTCTCTCATTGAAATGGGATAGTTTTACTAATTTCCTTTTCAGATTCTTTGATATTAATGGATTTCTATAATCTTAAAATTTGTTTTTGGTAATTGGGTATCACACTAGATTATAAAAAGATGAATAAGGCTTGTCTTGAGAAAATTGACTGTAATTTTAAAAAGTTATAAACTTTAAGACACATTACAACCATTATTTTGTCAAATTTCATTGGGAGAAGTTAAAAATTAATTTATTTTTTGTCCTTGAATTTAAAATATACTCAGATGAAAAAAACTCAATTATTTTTAGCATAGGCTTAACTTTGGGTGTGCGTTGGTATTGAATTCTATAGTTACTTAAATATTAATAAAGTGCTTTGGCATCTTCAATGTAATACTGAAAATACTTATAATACTGTCATTCTTACCCTGGACCTCATCCTGCCCTTCACAGCTAGTAAGGGGGAAAGATTAATAGAGGAAAAATTTTTGCTATTTCCCAAGTTTCAGACCATGAAAATTCACTTAGCAAACAGTAACTCTCATGTATGTACTGTCAGATACCAAAGTCCCCTTCTCTTAAATGATATTGCACAGTTCATATTCAATGGACATGATATAACAAGATCACCAGAGCTGCATGCCTTTTCAGCCCTGCTCCTCCTTAGCTCAATCTCTTGTTCTAGAGTGACAGAATTCCTAGGATACAACATCCATAATATCTGAATAAAGAGTTATTACACTGTTCCCGATTGCCTTTCCCTTTCTCTGGGCCTAAACCCTCATCCCCTGCCATAGTCAGCTGTGGAACAAAAACATGAACATCCAAACACTATCATGGAAGGAAGGATTAGGCTCATTGCAATGTTTGGGACTACAGAATTTGTGAAGAGTTAATTCTAGGATGCTTTCAAATATAATAAAGACAACTCTTATACATTACAATTAGTTACATTTAGTTGCTAGTTAGGCAAGGGAAGTTGGTGTCTCTTTTTTTTTCTCTCAGTAGAGAAAACCTCTTTTTCTCTCTCTCTCTCAGTACTGGGGATTGAACCCAGGGGAGCTTTAACACTGAGCTACATTCCCAGCCCTTTATTTTGAGACAAAGTCTTGTTAAGTTGACCAGGCTGGGCTTGAATTTAGAATCCTCCTGCCTTATAAACCTCTGAAGTCACTGGGATTACAGGCATATAATTACAGTGCCCACTGAGGTTGCTGTGTCCTTTGTAAGCACAACCTTAGGCATATTTTAAATCCAAATATTTAGGTTTTGAGGTATGTGCATAAGAAGGGAGATAGACTACAGAGTATAGGCCAGATGCAGTTGTGATACATTTTTATTTTCTATCTTGATGTCTGTACTGTTCCTAAATAAATATATTAGTGAGTTAGGTTTCACAGTTTGCATGGCTGATTATTTTTTTACCATTTACGTACTGTAAGATATACTTATTGGTTCTGTTCATTTTTTTTTTTTTAAGAAAGGTCTCACTATGTTGTCCAGGCTTGCCTCAAACTTGTAAGCCTCCTATCTCAGTTTCCTGACTAGCTTGAATTACAGAAATGTACTATCACACCCAGCTTTGTACACTCTTAAAACCCATTTTTATTATAATTAGTGCATATTAATTGCAAAAGGCTGTTTCTTCATTACATTTTCATACATGTATATATAATGTATACTGATCATATCCACTCTTCCTGTTATCCTTTTTTGCCTCCCTTGCCCTCTCTCCCCCATTTTCTTCCCCTTCTACCTTATGTTGTCTCCACCCCTAGAGATCACATAGGAGAGAAAACATGTGATACTTGTCAGCTTATTTTGCTTGAAATGATAATCTCCAATTCTATCCATTTTCCTGTGAATAACATGATTTTGTTCTTCTTTATGGCTGAGTAATACTCTATTATGTATATATACTACATTTTCTTTATCCACTCATCTTTTGATGGGCATCTGTGCTGATTTCATAGCTTGGCTATTATGAATGCTGCCTTGTTAAAAATGGGTATGCAGGTATTTCCGTTGTATGTTTTGATTTTTTCAAGACATAATCAGGAGTGATATTGCTGGATTATAGGGTAGTTCTTTTTTTATTTTTTTGAGGCACCTCCTTACTGATTTCCACAGTGGCTGTACTAATTCATATTCCCAACAATAGTGTGCAGAGTTCCTTTTCTTCCTGCATTCTTACTAGCACTTGCTATTTTTAAATTTTCTTGATAATGGCTATTCTGACTGGGATGAGATAGAATTTCAATGTAGTTTTTATTTATATTTCCCTGATGGTTAAAGATGTTGAATATTTTTTACATATAATTATTGACCATTTGTATCATACACTTTTGCTGGAATAAAATCACACATTTTTCCCACTCCGTGGCCTTATGTTTGTATGGCTGATAGTCATACCCAGTACAAACCAACCATAGGTTTTATTTATAGTGGCTACTATTTTCATTTCCTAGCAATAAATTGCATTTAATCTTCATTCACAGCTAAGTAAATAAGTAACAAAATTTTAAAAACCTTAAATCAAACAAAATCCTCCTTCTTTCTTGACAGTTTTTTTGTTAGACTATCCATGTTCTTGAAGTGGCAAGTTAATGAGTAGTTACTGAGGGATAGTGCACTTACTTATATAAGAGTTGATTTCACACTCATTTTTACTGTTCCTTTTCTTGCTGATTTTTCTAGCTTCTTTGGATGCTTTCCAATTTACTAGGAATTGTCTTTCCACATTTTTAATTTCCTTTCCATCAAGAAATTCTGGAAAAAAATACATATATTAAAAATACAACAGGGAGGGGCTGGGGTTGTGGCTCACGGTGGAGGGCTTGCCTAGCATGGGCGGGACCCAGGTTTGATCCTCAGCACCACATAAAAATAAAGGCATTGTGTTGTGTCCATCTACACCTTAAAATAAATAAATAAATAAATAAATAATAAAAAAAGAAATAGTTTGTCTAATTAAAAAAAATACAACAGGGGCTGTGGCTGTGGCTCAGTGGTAGAGCACTTGCCTGGTATGTGTGAGGCACTGGGTTTGATTCTCAGCACCATGTATAAATAAATAAAAATAAAGATCTATCAACAACTAAAAATATCTTAAAAATATATATACATATGAATGTATACATAAAAATATACATTTCTGATATAGGGTACATGAACTTAAGTTACACCATATAACTGACCTCATTTGTATGACGTATTTTGTTGAATTTTCATTAATTTTTAATTTTTTTCTAACTTCAATATGTGCTTTTTACAAACAACTGAAATGTGATGGTAAAAAACATGAAAAGGCACTGTAACTATCCATATTTCCCTCCCTCATCACTGCCAAAGATAATTACTATAAACAATTTTGGCATATGGTCCCCTTTCTAGGGTTTTATATAGACTTATATAGACTATATATTATTTTTAAAAGCAAAAATGCTATTATATGCAATGATAATTAAGTAGAATATTCTCTTTACTTAAATAATATGATTATTATTATTAGGAAAAATATTTTTGTTAAAATGGATAACAAGTTTTAAATAGGTAGCATGGTATTTTTAAAGCACATAATGTTTATTATATTCTAGGACATAGATGTAAAAGCCTACATCTTGTTTCTGAGGTGGGATTTCAGCTATCTTTACATTTGTTCCTTTAAAAAAGTTCTAAAAAATTGAGCTTCTTAAATTACACAAATAATTTTTATATGTTGTAAGATATTTGGAACATATAAAATATCAAAAAGAAAAAAAATAAAATTGCCTTATTCCACAAGGAATAAGCATTGAAAATCACTGATAACACTTTAGAATATTTTTGGGCAATTTTTTCTTTGCTATTCATTTATGTGTATTTACATGTATATTATATAAATGGAATTCTTTAGTTATATAGTTTTACATATTGCTTTTAAAATATTGAATTGTGAGCATTACTATCTTTCTTTAAACACAAAATTTTAAAGAAAATTTTTAAACACATTTAATGGCTGATAGTTCTTTTGCATATGAGTATACTATAAAATATTGAATAATTCTCTTCATATTTGGGGGTACCAGGGATTGAACTCAGGGGCACTCAACCACTGAGCTATATCCCCAACCCTATTTTATATTTTATGTAGAAACAGGGTCTCAACTGAGTTGCTTAGCACACACCTTGCTTTTGCTGAGGCTGACTTTGAACTTAGCCTTAGCCTCCTGAGCCACTGGGATTACAAGTATGTGCCATTGCACCTGGCTAAATAATTCTCTTCTTATATGTTATCTTATATTTCCTATATTATCTTTTTCAGTTCTGGAGATCAAATGCAGGGGTGGCTATAATGTCTCAGCCCTTTTTATTTTTTATTTTGAGACAGGGTCTTGTTAAATTGCCCCCAGGATAGCCTTGAACTTGCAATCCTCCTGCCTCAGCCTCCTGAGCCTCTGAGATTATGGGCATGTTCCATGGTACCCATCCCTATTTGCATTTGTAATCATATAGATAAGGATGATTCGTGTGGTCTTCGTTTATACAAAGTCTTATCTTTTCTAAGAACATTCCTGTATAATTTTTAAATTAAATGTTTTCTCTCATCATGCATGTAATATCTTCCACTATTCAGTGGTAAGGATGTAATAAAATAAATCATATTCTTTCAGGAAAAATGAGAATTGATAAAATATTAATTGTGCTGCTGAATTTATTAACACTGCCATTTATTTATTTTTTAAATTAGATTTTATTTAGTACACCAATACAATTTATCCTGGTAATAAATTAATATGTAGTTATAAAAATGTTTGTGCTATCCAAGAAAAATGCTTTTTAATGTATAAAGTATATGCAGATCCTTCAAACAGCCGACTTAATTTTCAAACTCAGAAGTGTGGTAACATCGCTGATGAAAATTGGGAGTTTTCCTGAATTCATGATTCATAAGTTTTGAGTTTATCAAGGTTTCAATTGCCCTTTCCATTCTGGCAATCCCCCACACCTGAAATGAGAACTGATAGCTGAAAACGTTCTGATCCCATCTCCTATACCTGTACAGGTGAGGGATCCACTGGCCTGAACTCAAGACCCCAGAGCTAATCAGACAGAGATTGGATTAAATCAGTTCACAGAGGTGCTCCACAAATGTCTGTGGGGCTAAATAAGGCACAAGCATCACTCATAACTCCAATCATACCTGAAAAACCTTGGTTTTACTTTCTGCTTACTATAGAATTAATTCCTGGTATGTTCTGTTGTAGTTCTCAAACTTAAACAACACTGTTGCTTTAAAACAAAATCATTCCTATTATTGCAGCATTATCAACAATCACTGACTGCCAATGCTGTTTGTATTTCTTTTCTCCTGGGATGTTTGAACTTGGGCAAATTTTCTTCCTGTTCTATGCTCACAGTAGACCCTCACCAAGGATGTCTGTTCTTGCTTGAAATTCATTGGCAGCGGAGAAAGTTTATATATAGTTAGTACCATCTAAAATGAGGTTGAGACAGTTCATTTCTCTTTGCAGGTCACTGCCCACTAGAGTTAACTTGTATCCTGCTCTGTTCATCTGAGCAGTCACTTTGCTTTTCAAAGTTGTGTGGATTGCTTCTGGGCTGACAATGTTCCAAGCAGCAGTGAGACTTCTCATGTCACAAATATGCCATATAATGTACAAAATATAATTTTTGATTTATTATGTGTCTCAGCCTAATGGTTGCATACAGCCATGCTACTACCAGATTTTTTTTAAGTCCACTTGTTTTAATTTAAACTTCCAAAGATTGTGTGTAGTTTATTTATCAACCAGTATAGAACACTCATACTCTAAGAAGCTTTTCTAATTGCAGGAGCCATACCTAAAACAACTTGCCAGGTATCAGTGTATTTTCATACAGACAGCAAAGTTGTGTTTATAATGGAAATTTTTCCCAATTTTCTTGTGATTCTAATTTCTTGCTACTCTCAGCACTCTAGCAAAGGAAGACTAATAGTCTATCTTCATATATTTCTCTTACTTCCTAGCAACATTTCTCTGTAGGAATGCATGTTTGGTTTAGATGTGTCCACATGGACATATTTATTCAGAACAGGCCTCCTATTTTTAAGTTCATTCTCTATTGTAGATGCTTTACTTTTTAGGAGTAGTGAAACAATACTGTGATAGGCTAAAAGCACTGGAACTAGCCACAGAGACTTGGCATTAACCTCTCTATGAAATGCAATTTCATTAGTTTTATCAGAAAGTAAACAAAAATCAAAATATATGCTTTGATCTGGTAAAATAATTAAAGCATTCATTTACTAATTTGGCATGTTTAACTCCTCTCATTGTTAACAACTTTGCTTCCTTCTGATTAAAAATTTTTTTAATCTTGTCATGATTTTTAAGGAACATAAGGACTCTCCACTTCTTTAATCATTTCACTGTAGATTTTTCTTCCTTATTCAACTAACCTTCCTTATTCACTACCACAATAGAACTCTGTGCATGAAGTGTAACAGAAAAAACATGCTAAACAGAACCTGAACATTCTAATAATAGCAAGACTGGGGAGACTGGCTTGGTGAGGGAACTGGAAGTGCAGTACTGATGAAGCAACAAATTTTAAGTTAGAGTAATAAAGCTGATGTCAAATTTCAAAGAAAGGGCTAATTTTAACCATATTGGTAACTAATTAAAAATATATCTTTTAAACTAAGAAATCCTAATGACTGAGGTAGATGATGCTGTTATCAGATACTGAATTAGGTTTAAGGTGTAAGGGAAAGAAAGCACTGATGTAAAATTATCTTCATTTAAATTCAGATGGATAATTAAGAATGCTTCCGATTCAACATTCTAAACATGAAATCCAGGTATGACCTATCTGGTGCTCACTTTTCTATTTGAAGATGAACTCAGCAGTTGGTGAAAAGATCCACACGCTAACAGAATGGCAAACCACAAAACAGTTGTCCCCGTGAAAAAAATCAGTTACTCTGCGTTTGATATTTCCACCTGGGCTCATTCTCAACTGTTCAGGATGTGGATTCCTGAAGGTTTCTTCAGCATTTAACTAATTCTTTGTTGGATGAAGGGGCTGGGACTGTTTCTCCACACATAAATTGATCTTTGTCATAAATCACTTTTATAATGAGAGAGCAGCTAGGACACGTTGCCACGTCTTCCCCATTCTCCAAATCTTCCTTGGTGATGGAAAAGTTATCCCCACATGGACAGGGGTAGAAATACGTTTCGGAGTCCTCATCATATTGGAAGTCCTCGATCTCCACCTCGTCGTGAAACACTGCCATGGGGTCGTCGGGGCCGGCAGAGGGCAGATGCCCCAGCCGTCTGACAACGCCTCTGTTGGTCTAACTTCCCGGAAAAAAAAAACACTGCCATTTAAATATGATCTATGATGTTGTGTTACATCCAAGGCACAAAATAAATTGATGAAACTGGAACACAGTTGTCCTTCATTATTCATGGTATATATACTTCAAGACTCCCATTGGATGCCTGAAACTACTATATATATATATATATATATATATATATATATATATATAATATACACTGTGTTATTATATAATACATACCTATGATAAAATTTAATTTATAAATAGGTATATTAATAGATTGACAATAATTAATAATAAAATAGAACAATTATATCCAGATACTGTAATAAAGGTGAATGTGGGCTGTTTCTCAAAATATCTTATTGTACTATAATGTGTTTTCTGATCTTGGAAAGAAAACCACAGATAAAGGGGGACTAATGTATAAATTAGAACCATGAACCCTAGAAGTACAGTGTCTTTGTATTTTTGTTTCATGAACTTTTCTTAACTGAATAATAGCACTTCAAGAAATTAGTTAAATGTTTTATCATAATATATGTTAGTACTTATAACTTTACATTAAGGGTCATTCTTTTATGTCCAGTTTTCTTAATAACTTAATTTATTCATATCTTTCCTGGTTCATTTTTTTATTAATAATTACATAATATGTTATTTTTTTGATGGAATGTGTGTAATCAGTACATATTTTTAAAAACATCTATTATAAACATAAGAAAAGATGGACTGGGGCTGTGGCTCAGTGGTAGAGTGCTTGCCTCACACGGGTGAGGCACTGGGTTTGAACCTCAGCACCACATAAAAATAAATAAATAAATGTATTGTGTCCATCTACGACTAAAAAAAATGTTTTTTTTTTAAAAGGAATGAAAAATCCAAGTCTTTTTAACACAATTTTTTTAAATTAGGGATTGATTCAGGGGCACTTTATCACTGAACTACATCCCCAATTTTTTTTTTTAATCTTGAGATGGGATTTTGCTAAGTTGCTGAGGCTAGCCTCAAATTTATGATCTTTCTGTCTTAGCCTCCTGAATCTGTGTGATTACAGGTATGCACCACTGTGCTTGACCAATTTCTTCTTTTTTATGTTAATGTCCGAGACAGAATTTGCAGTGACTAGAGGATTGTGCCTCAGTTAACTTGATTCCATCTCATTTTTAGCAAATGATTTTATTTGAGGTTATTATGTATAGAAACCAGGTAATGGACACAAGATATTATGAGATTTATTTTTTTTTAATGAGCTGCTTTCAGCATGAAATTTGTTTCCATTCATGCCAAGTAAATCGAATATATGCGTGTTCCATTTGGTGAAGAATGGGTAATTTATGAAACATAATATGGCTGCCTAGAAGTCCTTCTTACTAGGATACATCAAACCATGTCTTCCATTGATTTTATTTTTACACTTAGTAAAAAGAAAGAAATGAGAATAAGAAAAGCTAAAATCAAAGAGAATTTGTTATATGTGTATATGTGCATAGAAAAAACCCTGGAAAGACATACACTAAAGTGTTAACAGCAGATTTATGATGGGATTATGAGTTATATTTTCTTCTATGTATTTAAAAAAATTTTTTAGTTGTAGATGGACACAATATCTTTGTTTTATTTATTTTTTTAATGTGGTGCTAAGGATCGAGGTTCAGTGCCTTATGCATGAGAGGCAAGCACTCTACCACTGAGCTATAACCTCAGCCCTCTTCTGTGTATTTTTGCAAGAAAAATATGTATTAGTTTTGTAATCGTAAACAAGTCAGAGAAAAGATTTATTCAAAACAAACGGAATAAACCCTCTTTATTTGGTAATCAATATAGCTATCTGTACATCTTTTATAGTCTCCAATTAGTAAAGCATTAATTGTATTTATTTTAATCTGCATGCCAATGAAAATGGACTAATACAATATTGTGTGTTATGAGCAGAGATGGGAGGGGATGGGAGGATGGATGATGGACTACAAGCAGAATTATTTGTAGAGTTTTTAAAAACTATACATGACTAAAGCTGTAGGATTGTAAGTTTGAAGTCATTCTGGGCAACCCTGTCTCAAAAAAAGGGGTGGGGCAGGGCTGGAGATGTAAATCAGAAGTAGAGTACTCCTGGGTTCAACCTCCAGTAACCCCCTCCAAAACACATACAAACAAAACCCCTCAAAAAACTCAAAACAACTATGTTTGACTGTTGTCTCTGTGTGTTCTCTGTTCTCATCTTGTATGGCCCTTGCATTTTTTTGATATGCCTTTCATCCTCCTTCCAGAGAATCACAACATTAGTATTATGATTAATCAGTTAACTAACATTATGATTTATCAAAATTTACTAGAGCTTAAAAGTGGTTTTATCATACAGCTAACTTTTAAATTCAAGCATATCATGTCACAAAGGTACTGTTATAGGAAATGTTCTCATGAGGCTCCTTACTGCGAGAGTATTGCCTGTCTCTCTGGTGCTATGTAACTGTGGTCACTATTGATCAAGTGCTTTTGTCCATTTCCTCCATTATAGTGCATATTCAGGAATGTTATTATTTTTAAGGATTTTATAAAGGAATTCATCATTCTGTTTCCCTTTCAAACGAAAGGCACTTCTATATGTTTGGGTATCATTTGGCAAATGTCAAACAATGAAAACATGATCAATTTTATCTACAGAACCAAGAACTAAGGAGTCTCTTGGGATCATCAGAGGATTTGTGCTAATGAAAGTTTAGCAAAAGGTCATCAAGTTTACACATTTGTAACTAACCACTTTCCTTAATATCAGCTACATTTTATCTTTAAAGAGTCTGGTGCTTTATTTCTGAACAGCAGATATTTTCATACTTTATTTAGCAATTTTCTTAATTTTTGCTCTTATTCAAAATACTGAATTTTAAGATGACCATTTCATAGTTCAAGATGTCATATTTATATTTCTGAAAGTTTGCAGATAAATTTAACTATAAAGTTGAACAGATGTCTTTCCCTGTAAAAATTATGATAATGTAAAATACATACCCAATGATTTGGAAACCAATATTATTCTGTCCCTGTATTTTGGTTTGATACAAACAGGATTTCCATTTAGATCCATTTTACATAATTTCACCAGCTTGTTCAGTAAAAACTCCAAATCCTATAATTAGAGAAGAAAAAGTAAGCCATAAGTATTTCATAATTTTCTGTACTTCTAGCATGTCCATTTCTATTTTTAATTGCTGTTTTCTTTTTATGTTTTAGTTGTAGTTGGACACAATGCCTTCATTTTATTTATTTTTTTATGTGATGCTAAAGATGGAACCCAGGGCCCCGCACGTGCTAGGCAAGTGCTCTACCACTGAGCCACAACCCCAGCCCTAATTGCTGTTTTCTAAAATTACTGTTTTTCATAGAGTTCTAGTTCAGTGCCAGGTATTCAGGTGATACATAATAACTGTTTTTTTTTTTTTTTTTTAATAAAATGGCCTATGGTAGTAGAAAGGACTAAGGAAAAGGCAAAAAAAGTGATATCCTGACTTGGTGAGTCACAGTACTGTTCTTGGTTATACCTACCTTATGTGAGCCCAAACTGCAGCTCACATAACATTTGTGCTACAGAAGAGGCCCTATTCTTAGTGGAATTTATAGAAGTTTACAGAGTAAGGCAGTTAGGAAGTACCAAGTAAACAGACAATTGGCATTGCAAAAAATATATTTTGATGCCTTTTATTTTATAAAGAATTTAGAAAAAGCTATCAAAAGGAAAAACAGAAAAATATCACTTTTGTCACTCAAAGATCACTTTTATATCTGTGCAGTCTTCTTTTTTGAGCATAGGTATTTCTTTTAAAATTGGCACCATACTCTGGGTATAATTTTTTACATACTGTCATAAATTTTGCATGCTTTTTATAGCTTACAAGAAAAGAATAATTTATTTTGTGTTCAACTGAATGTGAGGAAAACATATTAAAGGCACATAAGAGCCAATTCTTCCAGTTTGCCCTCCTTAGTGCCTCTTTCTCTCTTATTGGATTTCTTTCCCCATCCACTGTCACTTCCTTTCCCCATAGTTTTTTGTCATTTATTTTCTTGCCTTCTCCCTCTCTTCTTCTTTAAACAAATATTTTGTCTTAACTACTAGGTAATAGAAATTAAATATACTTTGAGGGTTAGGGTTGTGGCTCAGTGGTAGAGCACTTGCCTAGCATGTGTGAGACCACTGGATTCTATCCTCAGCACTGCATAAATAAATAAAGGCATTCTGTTCATCTACAACTAAAAAAAATTTTTTTCTTTAAAATATACTTTGAGTAGTTTTTATATATGCCAAAAATTTCTGGCTTTTATTTTAAAACTTAGATGTTTAGTCTATTATGAATTACACAAAAAAGGTAATGTACTTAGGTTGTTTTCAAATCTTGGTTATTCTGAATAATACTGTAATGAACATAGAGTAGATATGATTTCATATTCTTTGGTTATATACCCAGAATTTAAGTCTGTGCTTGACCCCGAGGGATCCAAATAATCTATGTGAAAATATAGGACTTATTTTTTTGTTAAAGGCAATCCTAAATTCCTTGGCACTGTTACTTACGTGAGACCTTAGGCAAGCCTACGACTTCCTCTATAAAGTGAGGATAATTGCAGTAATTGTCATGGCATATACAGTGCTGGAAACAAAACAGGTAAATCAGAAATATGTTCATTTTCTCTTTGCCTGCCCTGCTATTCCTCAGTGAATTCCCTTTCTCTTAATTTTGGTCAACAGAGAAAAAGTTGTAAGTAAGAAAGAAGAAATTTCTGACCTAATGACAAACAAGTAGTTGACTTCTAAGAAAGCTCTCTTCACAAACTATAGCTTCAGCCCTCAGCCTTGAGACCTAGACTATGCCTGCTCCATAGCATTTATTCAACAGCATTTAATACAGCTTGCTATAATTTTCTTATTCTATGTGAGAATTACACTGTATTACTCTCACTTTAAAAACCTTTAAGGAAGGGATTGTACATTGTATTTTTTCTATAGTGTTGAATACAATGCCCATCATCCAAAAGTTAGGTAATAACAACAGTATGAGAACTTTAAATTGATATAGATAATGAGTGCTCAGAGTTTCGCTAATTATTCCTCACTTGATAAATGACCCTCAACATACTCCCTCCAGTGTATGTTTATTTAAGACTAAACTAATCCTGTGCTGAAATACGATTACCCTTTGGATACGCTCTGGTTGTTCATTGCCTTCCTGTCTTTAATAAAATGCTTTCACTTTCCTGCCCTTCAATAAGTTACTAAAAGAAGCAGACACTTTTCTGGACAGTCTCTGTTTGATAAATGATCATGTCATACTATCACTTAGAGGAGTGCTGCAAAATACTGAGGAGCCAAATCTATTTCCTCTGCTTAAGCTCCTTTATGGGTGTCTGCTGCATGGCAATGCTTTCTCCACCATTAATGATGACCGCTGATGAACCTGTATTTGACCAGCATGCTTCAATCTTTATTGGAAACGTCTGGCCCAACTGTCCTTACTAAATCTAAAGACAGCCATTTGTCATCCCCCTGACTGCCTGTCATCATCTGCCTGGGAAAATCTATAATTTTGGGCTTGTTCCTGACTAAACTGTAGAATGAATAAATTTATCTTTGGGCCACTCTGCTGTGAGGATCAATAATGAGCAGAGGTTGAATAAATTAGAAACTAAGAAAACATGACAGGCCATAGTAGTTTGTTCATTTGTGTCCTATAAATCAAAAATTTAGTTTATATAAAAGGCAAGCATGTCAAGTTTTTTATTTCCCTCATTCATTCTGAAGATTCTATACCTCATGATAAATGGTCATCAAAAAAACCAATTAAATAAATCACTAATGAATCTGTGAGATGAATTTTTCAGATAATTTTATTGATTTAGCAAACTTTTTAGACATAAAAACTGTAGGTAAAGATTATTTTTCAAGTGTTTATACATTTTTGCAAACTGGTAGTTGACTTATTTAATGTTGGCCCTAATGAAGTTCATAACTCATGAAGCTACTTTCATAAATGCAAAAGTCTTACTGTATATCACCATTATTTAATATTTCTATACATTGATGCATACCTGTGTTAAAGAAGTTATAGGTAAAAAAAAATACAAAGAAATGTTAACCAAAAATACTAGAAAAATAGCTAGAACTCTGAGAGCTAAAGAAAGGAGTTTCTAAACTGTGTATTATTTAGCTTAAAACTTCTCTGTTTCCTCTTCACCAGTTCACCTGGCCATCAATTTTATTGGGGGAGAAATAGGTTATCTTTCCATGAAGTTTTCTCAGGTGTCTGCCTAGGCTCTCATACTTCTTCTTCCCTCCCCTTTTCCCATTTTTTAACACACAAAGATAGAGTGTTACTTTTTTCCCCCCATGTTGGTCAGTTTTCTTGATCCTAACCTCTTCCTCTTGGGATCTTTTCTCTTTTTGAATTTCTATTTCTAATCTTCCTTCTCTAGCTTTTATCCAAACTCTTACAACTACCAAACTTGACCATTACTTCTCAAATATTCATGTGCTTGAGAATCAACAACGGATCTTGTTCAAATGCAGGTTCTTATTTTTTTAGGTTTGGGGCAGAAGCTGAGATTCTGCATTGTTGTTGCTGGTGGTCTTAGGACTCCATTGGAGTTATAAGAGTCTAGGCCACTGCCTTCACTTTCTCAACTACTGAACATTCCCGTGCCCTAGCACTACTGAAAAGATACTGCTAATCTTATTAAGCCAGACTTGACCAATCATGGATTTTCTCTGTCTCAATTCTGTGGAGTATCTTACCCTGTGGACCACTTCCTTTATGGATTTGTGGTTTTACAATTCTGTAGTCTTTATGGATTCTTCATGAACATCTGACCCATATGTAACAAGCCTCTGACCAGACATCCTGAATGCATGAAAGGGTTGTTTTCTAAAAGTTGCTTTTGAGAACTGAGAACAGGTCACATAAAAGACAATGCTATACTTGGTAGACTGTTGTCTGGGTCAGCCCATGGAAACAACCTATTTAATTGAGAAAAAGATTGAAGAACATTTGTGCAATGACAGTGCTATAGAACCTTCCCATAAGACATCAGCATTTTCCAGGGCACTGTAGCTCCTATTAAGGAACAGATGCAGGTATCCCCTGTGACAGAACTTCAGGGACCAATTCACTTCCTTTTCTATAATCTACATTTATTCCTTTAAATGTGTTGTTTTCCATTTGTTGGAATCACAGCTAAAAATAACGTTTCTTCACTTACACCAACTTCCTCACTTATACTTAGACCCTTTATAGAAAAGAGTGCTGTAATTCATCCATGATGGCATTTTCATTGATCATTTAACCCAAATACTAAAGACTCCCCTTTGACTATCCTCTAAGCTGTGTTTTCACACATCCAATTGTCTACCTGATATTTTCTCTGAAATGTTTCAGAAGCATCCCAAATAGTACATGACCCAAATTCATGATTTAATTCCACTGTGATGTATAACTAAAAGGAACAAATAAAAAATTAAAAGAAAAAAACCCTATTGTTTGGAGTTCTGTATTTCCCATTGTACAAAGCCAAAGCCCAAGAAGCATTCTTGACCTCCTTTTCCATACTCCCTATATTCAACACAACCAAGTCTCATTCACTTTACTCCCTAAACAGCTCTACAATCTCTTTCTATGCCCACCCTATTAAGGTTTTCACCACCTCTCACTTCTTGACTAGCCTGGGCTCTTCCAATCTGTTCTTTTTATTATAAAGATATTTTCAAAATGCCAATCTCTAATTACTTTATCCCTGGGCTTAAAACAGTTGAAGTGGCTCCCCTGTTCTTAGTATAAAAACCTATGCAACCATCTACTCACCAGCCTTTGTATATAGTGTCACCTTCACCCTGTTTCCCATTCCTCAGAGTCTTTGCCATGTTATTTCTTTTGCTTATAAGTCCTTATCTCCTCTCAGAGCCAGCCCAGCCATCCCTTCTCAGGGAAGCCTTCAGTGTCCTCCATTACTAGGGCAAATACTCGTTATAGGCTTTCACAGCCACCTACTTCTCTTTATGGTACTCATGCAATTTTTTTTTTAAAGAGAGAGAGAGAGAGAGAGAGAGAGAGAGAGAATTTTTTTAATATTTATTTTTTTTTT